TTAGTTGCTGTTGTTACCAGGTCTACCCTGACCCATGGCTGTAGCACCTGTTAGGGTCCCAGCTATGGGCAAATAGTTAAACCCCAAACTGTGGTCAAAACAATATGAAAGTGTAAAAATAGGTTTTATAACCAGCAACAAATTTTTGAAGAAAAATATTACCAGCAATAAAAATCTTGTCAACATTAAATAACCGATTGAGGTTGATATGCCGTAACGATGAAGAAGAGGAGACTTGAAGCAACAGATATGTAGTTTTGCAGAAGGAGGCTGTGAATACCATGGACTGAACATGTGAACAATAATGAAGTTTTAGAGAAAATGGAAACAAAAATGTCACTTATACTTAACATGAGGAAGAAATGGTTGGAATTTCTAGATATGGTTCTACAGAAGGATGTTGAGAATACCATGGAGTGAACATGCAAGCACTGAGGAAGTTTCAAGGAAAATGGGAACAAAAAGACAATTATAATTAGAATTACTAACGAGCTTGTATAAATAGTTGTAAAAACAGGGACTAGAAGGGGTTACAATGAGACAAAACTTACTAAGAGCTACAAAGGAGAGGAAGTTTTGCCAAGCCATGATATTCCATGTCCTGAAGTGACAAGGCACATAGAAGAAAAAGAAGAGAATAACAACAATAAAATTTCAAAGTTCCAAGGCTTTCCCTGGATGTTTAAAAATGCAAACAGTATCTATTTTTCCCATACGATAATGTTTAATTTTTTAAATTAGGCATAATAAGAAGAAAAAACCAGTTTAAATTTTTCGGACATGTAATGAGAAAAGAACTCTTGGAAAATTTAACACTTGCAGGACATACTGGAGGCAACATTGGTAGAGAGAAATAACCTACCTAATGAGCTTGCATAAATAGATGGCAGAACATGGACTGGTTTGGTTTGGTTTGGTTTATGGCATATCAACCTCAATGGATTATTTAATGCCAACAAATTTTTTATATGCTGGTAATGTTTTTCTTCAAAAATCTATTTCTGGGAATATTTTTCCTTGAAGAAATCTATAGCTGGTCATATTTTTTTCAAAGAATGTATAGCTGTTTGTATTGCTGGTATTTTTTTTTTAAAGTATTGCTGATAATAATTTTTCCTTCAAAAATTATTGCTGGTAATAATTTTTTTTATTACAAAGTATTTCTGGTATTCAAACCTATTTTGACACAAGTTTGGGTGTTAACTATTTGCCCATACCTGGGACCCTAACAGGTGCTACCACACCAGGTTAAAGTGAACCTGGGAACACCAGCAATTAAGAGGTGGTTCTATGCTCCTCAAAACCTCCTGATCAGAGGCCTTGCTGCTGGACGTAGTTTATTGTCTTACCCAGGATGTGGATGTAGTTTATCGCCATACCCAGGACAGAGAACATGGACTGGGAGTGACAATAAGAGGGCAAATGTTGCTCCAAAGAAAAGGAAGCTTTATGGAAATAAAAGAAGTAAAAGGGATCATATTCAGGCACAAATCTTTGAGAACACCACTTGTATATAATATGGTATGTTTAGATAATTACTTCTCTAACCATTCCAAACAGCTAATTCCGCTGTCAACTTGCTCAGCCAAAACTAAACATTTTTAGATTCACAGCATTTCAAAGATATTACATGTCATTCTGACCCTCAGGGTAATTTCTTGCTAAATTCAATTAAATTTTTGTTATAATTGCTACATTCAGTGTTAATTTCTACATAAATGCTTTTCTAATAATCAATAGCTAAGCTAGCATTTTACATGCACATACAATTTTTTCTTTCTTTTTAGTTGATGTTTCAATGATTCAAGATTACATATTTGACTGGCAAGGTTAATTGCAACTGACTGGAAAAAGATAATTACCTTCTGAGATTATAATTAATTTTTATTCAGGCTGAACATTGGCTTATAGTATAGTTAATTAAACACAGAATGGGAAAGAAAATGCAATCTACAGATAAAGAACACTCTTGATTATTCAATTATTTGAAAGAATTCAGTTTATTTTTAGATATTTCTTTAATTATCTAAGTTCAAAGTGTAGTAACTGTTCTTTTACAGAAAGCATACATTTTTTTATTTGAATTTTATCTCTTTTTTTTCTATGTAACATTTTTCAGCCTGACTATATGATGTAATGGAATAACCTGTCACCCCCATGAGTGACTACACTATAGGTAGTAATTACCTATAAGTATCTGTAAGTCAACGGACTACAGAGACTAGCTGGGATCTGTTACTCAGTCCTTAGCTGTTGTCAAACTCTCTGTCTTCAGGCAGAGAGGAACTCAGATGAGGCTATGCCAAAGGGTAGAGTCTCATCTGGGGAGGTAGACAGAACCGAACCCATTGATGCGGGGTTTACAGGTCATTTTTGGCCAAGCCTACAGGCTCGGATTGCCCCACATTAAATTTGGCCTTGTGCCACATACTACCCCGTGAGGAGGTTGGTAAATATCACTAGCTAGGATCTGTTGAGTATGACTCAGACTTACGTGAGAACTACTGACCTTCCAATAGTAGCACTCACTACGGGATTGACTTGCGACAACCTTGTGCATAACTGTTACTTTTATTCTTATTGTACTAATAAACCTTTTTTTTTTATGATAAACCCTTATTTTATCCACCTTGTTTTTCAAGTACATATTCCTATTAGCATGGAATATAACACTATAAAAATGCCCAAATTCCTTGTTACATTGATCAGACATGCTACATTGCTTAGTTTCACCAGTCCAGACCTTCACAGCTAGGGCCCTACATGTCATGTACACAGTGTCATCTCATCCTCATTCCTTTGTCATTGGTAAGAAGGAAGCTTCACTCAGCCAGCTTCTTCTCCAGAACTGTTACTTTGAAGAAAAAACTTCTGAAAGGATGTTGATGTTTTCACCTTAACCCTGACAAGGCTGGATTCTGGGTGCTATGCCTTACCAAAGAACTAGTTTGGTTGTTACCATTTTGAATTCAGAATTACCCTTCCCCTTGACTGGTTTTCAACTATGACTAAAGAGCCCAGTCTATCTTGCTATTTAACCCATAGCTTGAGGGAGAAGAGATGAATTCATATCTTTCCCAAAGGTATTTGTTCATAACTGAATGTAAAAAAACAACTCAACTGGAATTCAAACTTGGCTCACCATTTTCTCATTCCAATCCACTGCCCAATACACCATTGGCACACCCTACCACATCTCACTTTTATGGACCAAATTGTTGAAATTTTCATCCACATTCATGTGACTAATTTTAAAAGTTAAAAAATATTCAACTTAAAATGGTTAGGATTAAAAATATATAAGATTATAGGAGAAAAAAAATGTTAAAATACTTAATTTCAAAGTTGAAATAATTTAATGAATTTTATTATTGAATAGATTCTGTCTAATTAGATGAAATCAAAATCACAAATTTGATCCCTGCAATTGGTTGTTGCTTTTAAATGAATTTGCATAAAATGGACACTGATTTAAAAAGTTAATTCTGATATTGTACAATCTTACTGAACTGGTTATTCTTTGTGTCTGATAAACCATTTAACTTGAACCCATTGGATGTGAATATCTTCTTTTATGCGCTATATCCCTTCAGAACATAACAATTATGGCTCTCCACAATTTTCTATCCTTTGTAGCTCTTAGTAAATTTTGTCTTTTCCTAAAACCTTTTCTATAATCTATTTACACAAGCTCATTAGGTAGGATAAGCACTGCCTTCCTCTGCTTCTCTTGTCTTTCATCTTTCTTGTGAATTATCAAATTTTCCAAACCCTCTTTCCCCATTATGTGCCCTATAAATTTCAAATATTTCCTCCTGATGTTAATTGTAAGAGTCTTATGTGTTTCTATTTTCTCTAAAACTTTTTTCTCAGCATCCTTCTGTAGAAACATTTTTTTAATAAAATTTGCAGTTAAATATTGTTACAGTTTATTATTAACTTTTGTTGAAAAATAAATTGAATCTAGTATATTTATTAATTAGATAATGACTAATATGTACTTTAAATAATATATTTATATCTCATCTTAATTAAAATACAACGGAATCTATTTTCTTCAATGTCATTGTTAGTACTTAGGATGAACCTGAAGTTAATATTTGTTACATTGTTTCTTGGGGATTATATAAAAGTTACATCTTGACACTTTAAATGGATTTATATACAAAGATATTAAACTTATAGTGTAGTATCTGATTCATGCCAAGAAAAACCAATGGTTTAATGTTCATCAAGAACCTTGATCTAAGAATTGTTGATCTGTGGTGATCCCAATAGGAACTCAGTTCACTCTAAGAGATATAATATTTTTTTTTTACTCTGAATCACTTCAGAAAGTCAAAATGAGCACTGAGGGTTAATCTTGAAGGTGCGTCCTCAAAACCACTAAGTGCAGAATTGAGCTTGGAAGAATGTTGGTGTGGGCACCAATATTTACAAGGAAAGGAATGAACATAGCATACACATACTGTTGTGTCAGAAATCTACCACCCCTCTTGAAGATGTACTTGTCTGCATCTGTGAACAAAGACTTTAAATAGTGGCATGTCAGTTGACATGGGGAAGATAGATAGACAAAGAAGTTCTTAGCTGAGCTAGTTATTGACTACTCAGGCGATTTCTGTACCTTTTTACCAACCTATTAAAACCCTTTTTATTGTTACGTGTTATTTAGCGTTTGTCTCTACTAAGCCCAAATCAACATCATAACACATACACACCAGATAACAAGAAGTTATATAAGTGCTTAATCTATGAGAGAAGAAGCAGAGTCCCTCACATCCTTGCAAGAAAATTGAATGTTCAAAGAAAGACCCAAAACCACATACCCTCGTTTCAGTTGACATTAATTTGACAGAATTCATAAATGAATAAAGAATTATTTTATGTATCATAAATTTAGTCTCATATTCTTATAAATTCACCATGATTATAATAGGTATATAAATACTTTAAATTCTTCATCTTCTTATCTCACCATTTTTTCTTTCCTTTGTCAGGTGTACCTCCAAATCCAACTGTGGTACAAGTTTGGATCAGCACCAAAAAGACCGATGGCTCTCAGGAGAAGCTAAGAACTGCATTTCTATTTTTGACATCCAACCTGAAAAAGTATCAGTTTCTACAGTCAGCGATGTAAGTATGCTTATTATTAAAATACAGTTTCTTAAATGTTTTAGCATCATTCATATTTGCTTTTCTTCTAAATACATGCAACAGATATCCCACAACTAAAATCTCAGCTATGAAATAAGTACCTAAATTTCATACATATCTTACATGTGGTATTTTTCACATTTACTATACTTGCATGTTTTATAATGTCATTTACTAAAACAAAAAAAATGCCAACTACACTAAATTCAACTTAATTTTTACTTTTGGATTATCTTTCAAACAAATTTATAGAAATTAGCCACAAATTCAATTCCTGGGCCAGGCAGTATGTACCTGGACTCAGTGGAAATGGGACAAGCAATAATTGAGCAGTGCTAAATAAAAATTAGACAAGATATCCTTAGACATGACCAGAGGAACTCTATCCTCATGAATTTAATAAAGGGTTCTTTGAAATTCCTTGAAGGTTACTCAGATCAGCAAGCACCTGAGAAAGGATAGAGGGCAAAACAAACCAAATGCGATAACAGCAACAATGATGAGGATATTAGTCTGAATATAAATAATGATAATTCCTCATCCCAAAAATTCAGACAGAAAACGACGACTTTTACTTACACTGTATATTCAGACAACTGACCTTATTTTTGTAGTCTCATTTCAGCCATTGTGCCATCCAGCTTTCCTCAGGTGTATATCAATCTGGGTAACCTACAGGGAATTCTGAATTGAACCTGTTATTTAATCTACCAGGGTAAACTGCCCTTGTTCTACTGCATATGTCTAGGAATATCATGTCTAGTTCTTACTTTTAGTAGAGCTTAGTTATTGCTTGCCTCATTTTCACTGAATCCAACTACACACTGACCGACCAAGGGATTGAATTCACAACAAAGATTGAACAACAACAAGGATGAAGACAATAGTCTGCATGTAGTGTAAATAATGATAATGCCTCATCCCAGAAATTCAGATAACCCCTTTAATTTTGACATTGCCCTCTAAAAATTACATATATACAATTTCTATCCTGTCAAAAATGCTTGCCTAATTTTCTGGCCACTAACAATCACTGTCTTCCTAAGTTGCAATTCATTTCCATAGCAAACTTCTTCAAATAACATTACTAGTCAATAAAAACAAAGCACTTGTTTAACAGAAGGAATATAGGAAGTAAGTAATAAATTTATATGGTGAGACTTGAATAAGGAATAACATTATAGGGTTAGACTTGAATAAAGTTATATGGTGATATTTGAATAAGGAATAAATTTATATGGAAAGATTTGAATAAGGAATAAAGTCATATAGTGAGATTAAATCTTCTGGTCTGTCATTGTTTTCATAACTCAAACAAAGCAACCATTATGGTAAAATAGATTTCCAGAGAGAAAAAGAGATGAAAGTTCAAGTCTTACCAAGAGCTTATTTTCCAAATCATATTCCTTGTTAATATCTGTAGAATAATGGTCAGAGTAGTTGTGTGGGAATCACTTTGACTTACATGTGCCACACCTCCGTTTTCTTTATTGTCATTGAGTAATAAATACATGATACTTATTATAGGACAATTTAACCATCGCAAGTAATTCAAAATTTTCTCTAAAATCACGGATTGGTCCATTTCCTGACCAATCACGTATTTTAGTATCTCTTCTATATTTTGGCGCCAAGCCATCCGGAGCCTAAAACTTGTTATATAAAGACTCTCGCTGTTTGCCAACACAGTAGCAGTTCAATTCTTGGAAAATAGGGCACGGCGCTATACTGACATTTTTAATTCTTAATTATCACTCAATCGAGTAATCATACTAATTCATATTGATATCACTCATGAACATTACATTTTTCTACACTGATAAAACACTGTGGAACTATTCTTTATTTACCTAAGACTTCAATTGAACTTTGTAGTTAAATTACATTCAATTTTGTACTCGACATTTATTAGCTAAACTTACCCTTTTTATTACGGGAAAAGGGGAGCAACTTCCTTTATACTATTGTTGATATTTGTATATCATTGTTAATACAATATTTTATTAATGTTCACTGAGCTTGATTATTTTTCTCTCGTGTTTGTTGTGCATTATTCATGTGGGGTGTTGTTTTACAAGAACACAGCCTTCCTTCTTTATTATATTCACGGTGACCCTAGCCAACAATACTTACAGCACCACTACAGTTGCGATGAAATGCAATAAAATATCATATGAAATCCTAATCAAAAATTTAAAATAGTTGACACGTTCAAACATTATTACATTTGATACTACTAATGAGACAAAAAGGTACTGAAATTAAGGTGAAAGAAATATTAGTCAAAAATTAATAATAAAATCATTTTTTCTCTCTGAATTTCTGGGGTCAGGAATTATCAGTATTTACATTATTTGCAGTCAAACTAATCAGTTTTATTTTAACTATCATAATGTTTTGACCGGCCTTCTTCAGGTGTCTGCTGATCCAGATAACCTTCAGGAAATTTCAAACTGAACTCTTTATTTAATCTACAAGTGTAGACTTCTTGTTCCCCTGTCCATGCCTAAGGATATCTCGTTCTTTTTTCCCCATTTTTAGTATTGCTTAGTTATTGCTAGTCCATTTTTTAGTGAGGCTGAGTTTGTATTTCCTTATTTCATAGTTACTATGCTACTAAATTCATGAACTAATAATTTAATTCTCTAGGCTATATCACTAGACATGAACAGCAGAACAAGAATAACCTACTCTTGTAGATTAAATAAAGGGTTCAGTTCAGAATTTCTTGAAGGTTATTTGGATTGACACACATCTGAAGAAGGCTGGAGACTGAAATATTGTAATTGTGGGAATAACCAAGAAAAATGAACTGGATATCTGTTGACATAGACAGTGGAGTAAAAAGAGTCTACCTTCATTAAATTTAGAGTTCAGGTTGAAATTCCTTGAATGATACCAAATCAACAGACACTTGAAGAAGGCTGGTAGGTGCCACAACGAAGATGTTGTGATAATAGCAGCAAAGATGATATCTGTCTATATGTCGGAAATGAGGTATTGTAACTATTTACACTATTTACATTGTTCAGACTGCTGTCCTCATCTTTATTGCCAAGTTCAGCCATTGTACACTCAACCTTCTTTAGGTGATATACATTTTAATTTTGAAGCAGACCTTTTATTTATCCCCAAGGATACATAGGGATAAAAGCACTGGTTGAGTAATTCAAAAAGTGACTTGACCCAAAGAGTTATGAGTTCAATATCTGACCACAGTAGAGAGAACAAAATCTTGGTGAGTTGATTTACTAGAAGGAATTAACTAATACTGAGATATCTAAAAAAGGCATGGAACATGGAATCAGAACAATTTACCCCTGTGGACTAAATAAAATGTTCAGTTCAAAATTCCAACATATATAACCTGAAGAAGGTCGAAGTGTACAATGGCAGAAACATTGTGAATATGGCAATAAAGATGAGGACTACAGTTTGAACAATATAGTGTAAAAAGATGAGGATATTAGTTTGAATGTAAATAATTTCCTTTTCCTTGAATATTTCTTTCAGAAATCAAACAATAGCTTCATATGTTCATTGTTATTCTCAAGAGCAACCTTGTGGCAAAAACTGTCCATAATCAATGTCCTAAATGCCCCAAAATAAAATAAATAAAAATTCTTTCTTTGAACATAAAAAAGACACAGCTGATCATGGCCAATGTTCTGACAACTTGCAAAAAAAATTCATTTAGAACAACACTGACTGAAACAAATCAAATTTCTTCAAACACTCCCCTCCCACACATGCCACTCTCAGATTTTTCCAAACTACCACACCCAACTCCTGTACCTGTCATCCCTGAAGCAAGTGAACCAACATCAGAAAGTCTAAACATTGTAAAACAGATTTGAAGGCATCCTGCTAGTTTGTCACTTTTAGTCTAGACAAATCTTTTCTTTTCAAAAAGAAAGAGAAAGATAAACAAAGTGTTTTGTTCCATTAATTGTATTAGTTCTTTTACTTTTAACTTTACTGAATGCATTAAATTTACTTGTAGCATTTTGGAGATGAACACAGATGAGGAATTTAGCTGTGATTTCCCCAAAGAGATTAGCATGACAAATTCCAGTTTCACTTACAACCTGTCAACCAGAAAAAAAAAAAAAAAAATATATATATATATATATATATATATATATATATATATATATGAAAATTAAGAGTGTATTTTTGGTTTGTCTCTGGCACCAAAATATGTCAACAAGTTTATATTGCTCTTATTTGTTTTCTTTAACCAAATATGGAATATTCTTTCCTTTTGCTATAATATCTAAATGCAATCTGGTGCAAAATATGATAACATTACTGTTCAGTTATGATGAGAATAATTTCAACCTAAGAAATAAGTTTATAAAATCAAAAAAATATTAAAAGGTAACTCAAACGACATGTTTGGAGGTAATCTAATTTAGTTTAAAGTACAAGAAAGACGAATGATAAACATTTTACTCTACTTTTTGCTATTTCTTCAGCTAACTTGCTATGTGCGAGTTTTTGCAAATCGTTATATACTGTCAGAATTTATTCATACTAGCATCTACATTCTTCTTGTTTTTATCGCAATTTAATGACCATTATGGTGGGTCAGAACAGTAGTATTTTTCAATAGGTAGCATTTGAAAACATGATTTTGTTTCACATATGACTGAAAGTTATGACATATATATATATATATATATATATACAATTAGGTATTTTATTATATAGTATAAAAACAGAAATTAAAATTAAAATAATAAATAATAAAATTGAAATGTTATTAGATATGTCATTATGATATCTATATGTTAACATATATATATATATATATATATATATATATATATATATGATGAAATATAATTTATAGGTGCGCTATATTATGGGATAAAGTGCTCAATATCAGAGATAGAGCATATGTAAATATAAAAGTGAACATCAATGTCAATACTCAGAGGCGACAGACTGTTTCATGCTAGATGCTGTTGTTGGAAAATTGCGTCTAACATGAAACAGTTTGAGTGCTGACTTCAATGTTCACTTATATTTATATATATATATATATATATATATTACGTCAAACATTATTTTTAATGGATACTTGTATTTAAGTAGACACTCAATGTGCACATTTTTTTATTAAGTTTTCTTGAGCGGGAAGGCTGGGAGACAAAATAAACACTGTTTAAAAAATATGGAGCCTCTGCTCTAGTTATTTTCAACTGCCATGCTGCAGCATACTAGTGAAATATTTTCACAGCATACTTATATATGTGGTTATGGAAATAGTAATGTTGCAGTATTTGTATTTGAATAAATGAATAAGTATTATTTTAAATACTTCTGTGGCACATTTTGGATTTCAATACAGAAGGAATATCCCACTTTAGCTAAAAAGGCTTTATCAGTTTTATTGCAATTTTCTACTTCTTATTTATGTGAGTTAGGCTTCTCAACTCTAAATAACATAAAAAATAAGAAGCAAGAAAGACTACACTCATCTGTGAAAGAAATGAATGTCTGCTTATCGCACATCCGGCCAAACATTGAAAAAAATCACGAAAAAACACTAGACACAGGTTTCACACTAAATAAGAAGCACAAATAGTTGAATAGAAACATTGTGTATTTTTTTAAAAAATCTATGGTTTTATTTGATAATATTTAAATGTGTACCCTTTAAAAATTTTGCTAAGTGTGTCATGATATTTTCATTTGCTACGTGTGCTGTTGCTTAAAAAGGTTGAGAAACACTCATCTACTCAAATGCAGGTATCCACTAAAAATAAGGTTTGGAGTAATAAAAATATGTTGGATTAAAAAATAAAATCTATTCTTTAGATTTATGCATATTCCAAAAGATGACATTCATATGTCCTTCTATACAGTAAGTGCAAAAATTTAAATGTTTTTAGATGAAAAGCAAAAATGGAGAAAAATGAGGTGCATTTTTATTATTTGAGGATCTTTTATTCCCAGAAAGGAAAAAAAAGAAAAGTGCTGTACAAACAGCAAAAAAGATAAGTGCTATTTATGGATATAGTGCCATAGCTGAACATATTGTTCATATGTGGTTTGCTAGGTTCAGAAGTGGAAATTTTGATCTGGAAAACCAAGAATATTTCAGCAGACCTGCAGTCATTGATGGTGAGCAAATCAGAAAACTGATTAAAAACAATATAGGTTACATGACACAGGACATCACTGAAATACTCCATACATTGCCTACAAGCATTATAATATATTTGATATTTGAATTACTATGAAGATTTGGTGCTGTGATGAAGAAAAAAACAATTTTTTATCTTTTTTTTTTTTTAATCATTTCACCCCAAGCGAGACAAAAAATTGACTAAGATACAAGGTGTTACTGAGTGTGAAAGAAAAAGAATAATCCTATTTTAATTCTATATTTCTGTTAATAGAAAACAATTATCTCTTTCCTGATTTAATTTGCATTTCTCTTTTTAGCTTATTCTAAATATGAGTAGTCAACTACCACGGGAAAGTACCTACACTTGTGTATTCAAAGAACTGAACAGAACCTCACCTGCCACCGTACACAGAAAGACTGTGACATGCAAAACTCCGGATTTTTCCAAACTGAGGGACTATAACAGAGAAAATTCACGTAAGTCATATTCTAATATATTTTCCAAATTCTTTTAGTCAATGCTGCAAAGTAATTCTTTAGTCCAGCATTCTTCTTTTTCCTTCTATGTGCCATGTCTGCTCAAGACATTGACAATCATGGCTCTCCACAATTTCCTGTCCTTTGTAGCTCTTAATCAATTTTATCTTTTTATTATTTCTCCTAAACCTTGTTCCTCTATAAATTTACTCAAACTCACTAGATAGGTTATGCATTGTTTTTCTCTGTCCTTCTTGCCTTCAATCTGTCCTGTGAGTATCAAATTTTCCAAACCCCTTTCCTCATTATATGCCCTATAAATTTCAACTATTTTTTCCTGATGTTAAGTATAAGGGTCTTTTGTGTTTCCATTTTCTCTAAAGGCTTGTCGTTACTCACATGTTCAGTCAGTGGCATTCTCAGCATCCTTCTGTAGAATCATATTTCTGTTACTTCAAGTTTCTTCTACATCTGGGAGATTGTCCAGCTTTCACTGCCATATGGACAGACTGATATTATGTAACAGTTCAGTACTTTTATCGTTGTTTCTAATAAATGTTTTTGTTTCTTAATACTTTGCTTAGATTTTGGAAGCATCTTTCACTATACCAAGGTGCCTTTTGTGTTTCAGCATTGCACTTTCCATCTTCTGTGAAAACACTTCTCAGATATTTAAATTGTTGAACTTGCTTGATTTTGGCATCTCCAATTTGCAATTTTCATGTTGGGCTGTATCTTTTGCTAACTTTCTTCTAACTTTCCATTCCACTATCTTCTCTAGGAGCTCTTGTAGTTTCCTCTCCATGTCTGCTATCAATGCTGTATCATCTGTATATCTTATGCTGTTAGGATTGTGGCCACCAATAATGAGTCTTGGTAGGCCTTTTAATTCTCTCAGAATTGCTTCACTGTACCGGTTGAACAAGTCTTCTGAGAAAACACATGCTTGTTTTACACCTAGAATATTTAAATGGTCAAAATTAGGTTGAGTCATAAATAATTTCTGTTTATGTTTACTTTTCCAAATATTACAAGTAGTTCTACAAAAATTACTTATAACTCAATCTAATTCTATCTATCTGCTACTGGAGATAAATCATTCCTTTTATTCTACTCATTGTTTTCTAACATTGTTATTTTTTCATCTTAGTTGTTTTTTCATATTTCAAATGGAAAAAGAGAAAGAAAGAGTGTAAAAAAAAAAAGTTGAATGTAAGAAAAATAGGAGAATAAAGAAGTGAAGGAAAGAAATGTAAAGAAAAAAGAAAAAGTAAAACAGAAAAGTGAAAGAAAGAGGATAAAATAAAAAAGTGGAAGGAAGAAAAAAAAGAAAAAGTGAAAGAAAAGTATGGAAGGAAGAAAAATAGAAAAAGTAAAACAGAAAAGTGAAAGAAAGAGGATAAAATAAAAAAGTGGAAGGAAGAAAAATAATAAAAAGAAAAAGTGAAAGTAAGAAAAATAAGAGAAAGAAAAGTGAAAGAAATGAAATTAGAAGAAAGAAAAAGTGAAAGAAAGAAAAATGAAATAGAAGAAAGACCAAAAATAGATAAGAATAACTTAAACTGAAGAATGACGAGAGGAAAGAAAAGAAGGAAAAGTAAAAAGCCGATGAAGAACAACAATTTCAAATGGCAAGACACAAAGCAAGTGATGCAAACATTTGAACAACCAGAGAAAAGACTCATTGGTGTTTAGATGAATATACAATTAACAAAAGCCAATATACAAATTCTTAGATTGTTTAATACACAGGCTCGCACTGTCTCTCCTCAAAGAAACTCAAAATAGGTTTAAGGTGGGGTTATGTAAGCTGGGGCACAACAGGCATATGTGAAGAAATAGTGAAAGAGAGCAATAACTGTTGCCACCACTGACTGCATATTTGTAGATAAGATGTGATTAATAAGTCACGGTATGTAAATGGGGAAAAACTAAATCCTTGCATTTAAGCTACAAGGAGAGAGTTTGATATTTTATGACACTGTCAGGCAAGCACGCCTCTTTTGGGGGAAAAATTATAAACACAGAGTTGGTTATTCTTTCTTCTTTTTTTCTGTAACACTTGTCTGTTTCCTTCCTTCCAATTCATTCCCCTTACTTTCTCATTTGCCTGTCTTGTCTAGCTGCCTGACAACAGAACAGACCACAGGGAGGAATAGATTTATGCCTTTCCCAAGGGCATTAATAAAATGTAAACACATCAGTTCAATCCACAATTCCTGCAGTGAAGTATAAAGAACATTCTAAAGTTCAAATAATCAACAATTATTTGAGATATTAAAAAGGAAAGAAGGAGTTTGGACTTTGGTATTCAAGTTGTTTAGCATGTTTTTGCACTTTATTCATTTTAATTATTTCTTTTTGAGTGTTGCTTGTAAAAGAAAGGAAGAAAGAATGCAAGGAAGAAAAGAAAGAAGGAAAGAAAGAAAGAGAAAAGAGTGAAAGAATGTAAGGAAGAAAGGAAAGAAGGAAGGATAAAAAAAGGAAGAAAAAGAAAGGAAGGAAGGAATCAAAAAAGGAAAGGAAGGAAGGAATCAAAAAAGAAAAGGAAAGGAAGGAATCAAAAAAGAAAAGAAAAGGAAAGGAAGGAATCAAAAAAGAAAAGGAAAGGAAGGAATCAAAAAAGAAAAGGAAAGGAAGGAATCAAAAAAGAAAAGGAAAGGAAGGAATCAAAAAAGAAAAGAAAAGGAAAGGAAGGAATCAAAAAAGAAAAGGAAAGGAAGGAATCAAAAAAGAAAAGGAAAAGAAGGAATCAAAAGAAAAGAGAAAGAAGGAACAAAGGAATCAAAGAAGAAAAGAAAAAGGAAAGAAGGAAAAAAGGAAGTAATCAAAAAAGAAAGAAAAGAAGCAAGAAAAGGAGGAAAGGAAGCCAAAAATAATGAAGAAAGGAAGGAAACAAGTAAAAGGAATCAAAAAAGAAAAGAAAAAGGAAGCAGAAAAGAAAAAGGACATAAGAAAGAAAAGAAACAAAAAAGAAAGTAAACAACTAAAGGAAGAAAGAAATGAAATAAAGAAAAAGGAAGAAAGAAAGAAAAAGTAAGAAAAGAAGGACGGAAATGAGAGCAAAAAAGAAAGAAAAAACTCATTCTTTTGTTCTTGCAAATTTATTTCCTTTATTTTATTTCACTTAAGCATTTGAATGCAGCTTTTCTGAGATATTTGACGATTCATTAAAAAACATAATAAAAATAATTTCTGCAAAGAGAAAATATGCTTCTTTTGTTATTATTAAAAAATTTACACACATTAGAGAACACCATCTTTTTAGATTGAATTTTAATCATTTTTGTTTTGTTTTGTTTTTTCAATTTATTCTTTATTTTCTTTTTATTGCATCTTTCTTTTTTCTTTCTTTCTTTTTGTTTTATGTGGGAGTAAGTGTTTTTTTTTAATTTTAATTCTCAAAACTGTGATGATGTTTTTACAATTCACCTTCAACTATTGCTTTTCCTGGTTGAAAATCAACTAACAAATACCTAATAACCTTTGTGAGATTCTCATCCATCCACTACCTACTTTTATTTTCTTTTTTTTTTTTTTGGTGGGGGGGATGAAGAGTAAGAGGGAGGGGCTCTTTCTGAAAATTTTCTTTCTTTTTTCACCAGCCTATTTTCTTGTTACCATCAAGTGAAATGGATTAGGGTTGATTTCTCTTTGTCACAAAAATCATTCCTGCTACTTTTACCATTCAGAAGAAGAAGAAGAAAAGTGTTTCAGATGCTGAAAGCAAAACGTTGCCATAGCAACTAGGAGAAATTGATTTTGTTGATCTTGCTCGTCAAATGAACACATATGCTTTACTCACATGAGCAGATGCAACAAAAATATTTCTTAAGATTATTACTTGTTGACTGTTGAGCCAAAGATTTCTTATTCTACATCAGTTTGTTTTTTGTTTGCAGTTTTTTGTTTTTTACTTTCTTTTTAAATACACATGCATTAGTTAAAAAGAATAGAAACAGTTTAAATTTCCCACAAGGTATATGTTCCAAGGCTTTCTGCAAACATTTGAAATAGCAGATAGTACCGAATACCCTTTTTTCCCACATATAAATATGATAAAGTTTAATTTATAAATTAGGCATACTAAGAACAAAGAGCCAGCTGAAATTTCTATGGTGCATAATGAGGAAAGAAGGCCTGGAGAATTTGACACTCACAGGATATTATTGAAGGCAAGTGGGACAGAAGAAAGCAGTGAATAAATTACCTAGCAATCTTGTGTAAATATTTGGCAAAATAGGGATTGCAAAAAAACAAAACCTACTAAGAGATACAAAGGACAGGAGGGTTTTGGCAGAGCCATGATTTCCCATGTCGTAAAGGGACCCCAGTGCACAGAAGAAAAAGAAGAGAATAATAACAATGAAAGTTCTAAGTACCAAAGGTTTCTGTGGATGTTTAAAACCTTTTTTCTTTATTTATAAATTAGGAACAGTAAAAGACTAACAGCAGCAAAAAAATCAGCTGTAACAATATAGTGTTAAAAACAGTTGTAACAATATAGTGTTAAAAAACAGTTTCAACAATATAGTGTTAAAAAAAAGTTATAACAATATAGTGTTAAAGAAAGTTATAACAATATAGTGTTAAAAAACAGTTGTAACAATATAGTGTTAAAAAACAGTTGTAACAATATAGTGTTAAAAAACAGTTGTAACAATATAATGTTAAAAAAATAGTTATAGCAATATAGTGTTAAAAAAATAGTTATAGCAATATAGTGTTAAAAAAACAGTTATAGCAATATAGTGTTAAAAAAACAGTTATAACAATATAGTATTAAAAAAAGATAATGTTATGGATAGAATATTTGCTCTTCTTCCGGTATCTAAGCAACTTCCAAAATAGGATTTTTCTTTTCTTATTAAATTCAGAATATTTCACTTAAAGGAAGCACTTTACGGCTTCAGCATGTCTGAATTGCCAGTATCACTGCTTTTCTGCTTTGGGACCAATATTAAGTAGAATTTATGAATTGTTTATTTCTGGAGATGACTGCTGACAATTGAAATTGAAGAAATTAAAAACCATTGTATATCAATCTTAAAAGTCTTTCTCAACCATTTATTTAATAAAGGAATTTCAAGAAAATAAATCATCTCTTTCTAACTAGGCATTCTATAGTGTTAGCTAGCTAGGTTAGCAGACCATTGGGTTTGTGAAACAGTGTAAGCTAAACAATGAATGTTAGGTCAGACTAAGTAAATGTCTGGAACACACTGCTGTTGAACAATGGTTAACAAGGTTTTTCAACAAACTGTTTCAATTATATTAACATTGAGCCTCAATGGACACTCTACACTTGTTTCCTTGTGCCAAACTTAAACTTACTAAATATCTGCTTACCACACCATGGAGCAATAATTAATAAAATAGTATAATTAGTAGTATGTTCAGTTTTCATTAGGTACCTCACAATTTGAACTTGTGCCAGACTAAGCTAAACTTAGGAAATACCTTGAGCACTTTGTTGAGTAATAATGGCAAGCTTAATAAATGACTAAGTTCAAAGATGTTCACATTTACTAGATAAACTTTTTTTAGCTAACATAAGTTTAATTTCTGTAACTTTGACCTTTATTCAGGATTATAATCTTCACTTTTGTGTTTTAATGATTTTCATCTGTATATTTCCTAACATTTATTAAATTATTATATCTAAAACCAAGTACTGAATTAGCTAGTGGAGATAAATTGACCTAACCATTGCAATATAAGCATTACCATAGCAATGATATGTTAATGTGAACTTTATTCATGAGTAATGACAGACAAGGACATATAATTGTTTGAGAAAAAGCACTTTATATACATATTTACAAAATATGAATAGTTTATTTAGTTCATAAATCAGATACATATTAGCAGATATGGAAAAGAGAAGTGAATTAAGGCCTTACTTGTGAGTTTACTTGGTTTTGCATTTCATCAGTGAGGTGACTTTGGCATAAAAATGAGTGGAAATAGAAGCCTGGAGTAAACATGCAGCTGTTCTGAAAAATTTGCTCTAACTGGCCAGGCAGCTTTTTATATCTCAAGCCAGATACATTTCTAACTCTTTGGCATGTGCATAAATTATTGCTGAGTCAAGGGCAGACAACCAAATTTTCTAATGCTGCAACATGTTAGAACAACATATAGTATATTTTATTATCTACTAGCAGTAGAGCCCAGCATTGCCCGGGGATGTAGCAGTAAGAGATAGATCAAGTATCGACCACCATAAAGAGTGAAAAATAAAAATTGACTAAGATTATTGTTTAAGGTTGATGGACACGCATGTCTTAATGATGGACGCATGTTTTTTTTTTGTTTTTTTGTTTTTTGTTTTAAACAAATTGGTCAAACCCAAACTCAAACAAAAACATTGTTTTCAATTGTTATGAGTCTATCGATTGAATAGAATTTTATTATAAACAATTGTCTTGTGAATGGAATTTTTAAAGCATTCCGAATGTAAAAATAAAGAAAAAAGTGTGCAAGACAATAAGAAACACTACCTGTCAAAAAAAAGTGAAGTTTTGTTGAAATCGGTTGAAAAATGTAGGAAATCCGATCCCATATATAAAGGAACACACACACACACAAACAACCTGGGTTTTATAATAAGTATAACTCGATAACTCGATATTAATAAGTATAACTCGATATGAGTTGTCCCCCTTTCATTAATGCCTCTTAATTGTGTTTTCAAATTGATTTCATGCAAAAACAATTGTTTTTCCAATTTTTGGCACTGTCAGAACCACCGCAAGGTAATTTTATGTAGTCCTGTGAAGTTTTGTTGAAATCGGTTGAAAAATGCAGGAAATCTGATCCAATATATAACCGTACAGACACACACACACAATCTGCGTTTTATAATAAGTAAGAGTGATTACCAACAGCTGTTTCATTTATCTGCAGTTGTGCAATCAGTAAAACTTACGTGTTTAAAACTTTTATTAAATTAAACTACTTTGCAAATTATATTTTAATTTATATATCAAATTAAATTTATTAAAAAAAAAAAAAAAGAAAAAACGCTCTACATAAAATGTTAATAATAATATTTTGAGAAAAAAAATAATTATGTCCTTAAACTAAGACACCAATCCTGAGTTATAAGATCCTCAGAGGAAAAGCTGAAATTCAATGAAATAATTTTGTCTAATTCATATCACCTGAAAGTAAAATATATTTCGTATGTGGTGGGGGAAGGGGGGATAAGGAGTGGTACCTAGACTAAATAACGGTTCATTGTTATCTTCAGGGAACCTATCTACCATGTATAGCGAAGTCATGTTGTCTATCTATTTTTTTCTTAAAAGACCAAAATACATCAGTTTTAAGTTATCTCCCTTGTTGTTTAACCAGAGTCTTTTAATTTTAAAACTCCTTTTAATTTAATTAATGTTTTATGAATATTTTCACAAAAAAAATACTTTAAGATTAAATAATTTTTCTTTTCATTTTTTTTTTTTTTTTTTTTTTTTTACAGCGTCAATTGTGGTCACCCTTGCCTTGAATTCAAGCGAAACTGCCAAGATATTTGTTCGAAAGAATTATACCTTTTACGACTGCAGCGCTTTCAAATGGTAAGACAATTTTCCAGTTATAATGAATTTTACTAATAATTACCTTTCATCTTAAGTTTTGGTTGTCTTTATTATGATTTACTTGATCTACAAATACCAAAAATCTAAAATTATAAACGGTACATTATCAGTGAGAAATGAACTCAAATTTGCCTTCATGGAGTCTCCTTAACTGTAGCAGCTGCTTTTATCATCTGAGCAACAAAGACCTCTGACATTAGTACAAGATTGTGGTAATAAAATAAGCATATCCCATCTCCCCTCTTGCTTGTAACCATCCATCACAATAAAATAAACGTTTTTCAGCTCTAAAGCTGAATGAGTCAAATAAAGTATCATAAGCTGCTACTATTGTTACTATATTACAAAGATAAAAAATGCTACTTATTAGTCTTTCTTAATTCCTCTTTGTTATTATTTTTATACTACTAAAAACAATATTATCTTTGTTGTGCCCCATTCAACTAGACCGGCAGTCTAGCCGCAAAAATAATAATAAATTACCTCCTTCGTTTTATAACTAGTGTTGCTATTGGAAATAATGATGTCATTACACCATACTATATACCAAAATTCTCCCTCTTATTTGGCAAAATGTAAGTCTTAGGGTTGCTTATTGATCCCTATCAGAAATCAATCTTTTCAAATTCTTTCATTGAATAAGAATTTTTTATAACTTCACACAGTTGAGGAACTGAGAAATATGATAATCATAAAAAATACAAAAATTGTCTTATAATTTTATAACCATGAACATTTGAACTATGAAGTCTTTGTTTGAAATACAGTTAAATATATAAATATTTGACTGTTTCAAACAAAACTTTTCTTCTACATATCAAAGAATTTTAGTGAAATATTCTAACAGTTCTTTGTGATGTAAGAGCAAAAGGAACAACCCAAGATGAGAAATATTAATTGGAGACAATTTTTGGAAGCATACTACAGGACATCCTACAGAAGATAGTAAAGGAAAGCAAGAAGAAAGGACTAAACATTAATTGTAAGAAGACTGTTAAATATAGAAAACAATGTATGTTTGTCAACAAAAGCAACAGCTCAGCATATAAACTACAAATTGGCAACACCAAAATCAAGGAAGTACAAAAATTTAAATATTGCAGAAGTGTTTTAAGAGAAGACAAAAAATGTGACATGAAAATCCAAAGGCACATTAGAAGAGTTAAAGATACCTTCCTAAAATGAAGCAAAGTATTGAGAAAAAGGAAATTCTCATGAACCACAGCCCTCTGGAACCAACTCCTAAGAGAATGTTTCTTCAATTACTACAATCTTAATCTGTTCAAGTATATGATTAACCATTACCTTCCCCCTCCTATCCATATAAACTGCCTGTTAATGTAACCCTCTACCTTCAGTGGTTCCTGGGAATTGTACAAGGTAAACTTTACTGTAAAAAAAAACAATTCTCTTATATGGCAGTGAATGCTGGACAATCTCTTCACAGATGAAGGAGAAACTGGAAGCAACAGAAGTTTAGTCCTACAGAAGAATGCTGAGAATACAATGTATGTAAGCAACAAAGAAAATTTAAATACATAGGACATATAATGAGGAAGGATGACTTGGAGAATTTGATACTCACAGGACATATCAAAGGCAAAAGGGACAGGGGAAAGCAGTGAGCTCTCCACTGGATGAGCTTGTGTGAATGGATGGCAGAAAAGAGGAAGGGTGAGAGGAATGGCAACAGGACAAATGTTGCTAAGAGCTACAAGGGATAGATGGTTGTGGAGAGCCGTGATCACCCACATCCTGAAGAAATTTGGCACTTCAGCCTACTACTGAAACATTCCTACAAAAATTTCTCAGTAATTTTTTTTTTAATTCTTATCATTTCTCAATGTCAATAATACATTTTTACAAGCATAAGGCCCAAGAGCCACTCGATGTAGAGGGTTACAGTACAGAGTAAGAGGCATCACTCCAAGCAAGGTGAAAATGCCACCAAGATGCAATGGGCCACCGGAAGTAAAAGAGAAGGAAAAGACTTTAGAGGGAACCAGAAACCCAACCCTAAACAGGAAATGAGAGATAAACCTCTACTCCTGTTAAAAAGATTGTAGAGGAGTGCAAACCAGATGATATGAAAACCCATCCACTGCTATTGAGGGGAAAAATATAAATAAATAGTAAATAAAAGTTCAGAGTTTTAGTTGGAGATGTTAGAAATATAGTTGAAGTAGACAGAGAGTTTAGAAGGAACCAGAAACCTAATCCTAAACAAGAAACAAGGAAGAAAACTTTACTCCTGTTCAAAAGACTGGGGAAGAGTGTGAACCAGGTGATAAGCCAACCTATCTGCTCTTATTGAGGAAAAAATAAGATAAATAGTAAATAAAATTTCAGAATTTAGGTGGGATGTTAGAAGTATAGAGTGTGTCTTTTCGAGTTCACCCCAAAACAATAAAGCCACTGAGACACAAGTAGTTGAAGTAGACTTTAGAAGAAATCGGAACTCTAATCCTAGACAGGAAATAAGGAATAAACCTTTCCTCCTGTTCAAAATAAAGAATGCATTCTATCCCTCTCTCACATAATGAATCTACTGTTTTATTATGTCTGTTACAGAAAAAGTAAGTAGATACCAAATTTTTAACAGGATTTCCAGTAACTGAACATTTAATACTTATCTAACTTCTGTTAGAAAACAGATGCAAAATATTACAATGGTTTCATTTTTTCCTTTTCCTGTTGAACAAAAGACTTTGTATTCATCCACTTTTAATTTAAAACTGTTATTATATATTTACTTAATCTATGATGTCAAATTTATTAAGTGGAAATTATCTATAAAAAATATCCTAAAAATAGTAACTATTATTAAGATTAAGATTTTTTTTATATTAATATATGTAGTCTATTAATACTATTACTTACTACTACTTGTACTTGTTGCAGCATTCACCCATGATCAGTTGAGTTGGTTCCATCAAACAAACCTGCTGCATCCCAAATTTGGACATGCAAACTCATAATAGTTTCAATGGGAATTTGGTTTCACAACCAGTTCCCAGCCACATGTATACACACTTTAGCATGATCTGAGCAGTGAATCAGTTAGAACACAGAAACAGTTGTTTTCTACACTCAACCCAATACAGTGGCGCCAGGATCACAACAAGGATAGATGGGAGAGAGTTTGGCTGGCAAAGGTGAGACACGTGGTCATGAAGTGATCATGTGATCATGTTGCACAGCCTATTCTGGAGCTTGTCCCCATTGTCCAGCTTAAGCATACTGACCCTTTGAGCCCAATACTATTCTTATATATTATAGTAAAAAGTGATGAGAGTATTTATATATGGATTGACAATTCTTCCTAGGATCAGTGCATTATCTGTGGGTGCTAACTTAATAATTTCCAATTAATTTTCTATGTTTCTCAAGCAGATGAATGCTGACAGAGTGGATATATCACTTGCCTGATTACATCTTATTCAGATGTTCAAACCCTAGCAAGATTCACTTGTTCTACATATGTTTGCTTTAATAGAGCAAAACATTAACACAGAAAATATATGGCAGCACATATATTATATGGATATATGATTACATTATCCAATCAAAGCTGTTGTAGCAAAGAGATGCTACAGTATTGTAATGGATATGATTGCTGGTGGTCACCAATTTATAGTGCAGGGATTTATAACTTGTTGCCTATGAGGTTGAGAACATTCAAAATAAATGAAATCAACATTTTCAAAAGGAATAAATTTCAACATGTGGAGGAATTTTACATATATATATTTTTATATAAAGTAAAGCAATTCAAGAAGTTAAATATATATACTTGTGTGTACAATGATAGATAAAAAAGAAGAAAAATATCATAGGCTTTGCTATTAGAAAATGTGTAGTTGGCGGAAATTAAGAAGGCAACCTGCCAGGGAAGAAAATTCTACAACTGGAGAGAATTTCTGTTGTTTTCACTACTACATTTTGAAACAAAAGAGAGAAAGTCTTTCCTTTTATAGTCCTGAATAGAATGCCACCTAGCAGGCAAGCTGGCTGACAAGGTAGAGTAACCCCCCCAAAACAAACACACACATGCAGTCAAAGTCTTTACAGGGCTGTGAATAAAAAAAAACTCACTCTAGTAACATTAGATATTCAAAGTGTAATCTAATGATCAGGCACTTGATTTTACAATTTTTAACCTGAAGTTTGTTTTAGTAAGTTTCAGTATTCACTATAGATATTTTGTAATGAAAATCAGAAAACAGTTGTCAGTGGTTGGATAAGCATTATTGACATAAGAAAGTTTTGACATATGAGAGATGTTGGAAAATTCTTGGTCCATCCACTTCCCTGAATTAGAATTTATTTTAGGGGTAGTTTCATACAACACCACAGATTTCTACAAAACCAAAACATTATAATAAAAAGAATCTATAGATCCATTATAAAAAATGTCCTTTTTATTGCATATATATTTCAAATTTCTAGTCTCCTCATTTTTATTTACAGCCTTCAGGTTGCACTAGAGGTAGTTTCACACAATACCGCAACTTGCTACAGAATCAAAACACTAATCTAAAAACTTGAGACATGATCTTAAATAGTCACATCAGATCAAGACTTTCATAGTGATATCGTGTTTAGAGTTGAACTCTGTTAGGAGACCTTACCCATAATAACATAATAGACTATTCCATACGTAATAAATACTGCGCCTCAAGAGGAAGCAGAGAGTTCAGTCTGAAATCTGGAGTGAAGTCCGTCAGAAGTCAGTCAGAGCGAAAGAGTCAGTCAGTCCAGTCAGAGGCAGTCCGAAACAGAGTCGTATTCAGACAATTACTACTAAACCTGATTGTTTGTACTAACACTTTTCTACCTCTCTGTATATATTCCTGTTTGTAATATATCTGTGTTATTCCATATCCACCTTCGAGTTCTTCTTTATTGGTTCTACCTTGGACTATCACCATGGTACAAGGAACCGAACCATGACAAACTCATTTAGAAAAATCTAAATT